ATTGTAATTTCTTCACATGATGTACAAATCTAATTTCTTATTTTAGTCAGTTATTATTTTCATTTCCATTGTATTGGGTTATATTCAGTGACTGATTCACTGCCAGTAATCTCTCATTGAAACACTGTAAGGTTATTGTTCTGGGAATGTGTTCTTGACATTTTGTGAGATACAGGGACTCTTATTTTGGTAATGTGTGCTGTATTTTCACATTCTTTGTAACTCTGACTCGTAAGTGGATGAAATTTTTTAATGAGGCTTGTTTATTTTCAATTATACTTTATAGATATAATGTTCATGTACAAAGCATATTGTGGGTTACAGTGCTTCTGTGACTTTTTATTATTTTATTTTTTTTATCATTATTGCAGGTTGATTAGCATATGATAAACGAGACCTATATTAATAGTTTTATTATATGAGTAAACAATTTAGTTGAGATACACGTCATTGTCCAGGCTGTTGTTTAAGAAGCATCGTGCAATATAAAGTTAGATTCTTTTTATATTTTGATTGTCAGTAGAAACTGGTATTAGAGCTTAGTTTTGTTTAATTATATGGGTGCCCCTTAGATATGTTTATATTCATTTTGTGCAAATTGATATATGGCATTAGGTTTGATTTCATGAATAAGAGGAGTACTAATAATTGAATATTGCTTTGATTAACTATGTTATTTACTTCTTCATATTGATTTTATGCTAATTGATATATGGAGTTAGGTTTACTTTCTTGAATATAGTAGCACTAATAATTGAATATTGCCTTGATCAACTGTTTGACAATAAATTTGTAGTTGATTCTTTTTTTATCAGATTGTTTTAGTTTAGAATAAAAAATTCTTAAAACTAATTTTCCCTTTGATTCCAATACAAAAAAGGGCTACATTTTCTTCTTCTTTTCTTTTCTCCCCCTTTTTTTGAAAATCTACAGTGTCATGTGACATTGTGGATTTGGGCGAGTTGTAGACAGGCAGAGGTGTTGGTGGTGATAGTAGTGCTTGGCCGCTGGGCAAGTTGAACCTTGAAATTCTATCGCACTAATATCGGTTGACTTGAGAAAGGCACTGGTGCTCTGGGGTGAATATGCATGTGTCTCTACCCCTGCTCCCTCCCCTGCTGTCTTGACAAACTCCCAGAACATGTTGAATTTTCAGCATAAAAGGCATTTAGGAGGCTCTGTTACCAAGTTGGGAAGCAGTCACTGAGACAGGATTGTTTTGTACTCTTTAGAGAGTTTTATTTTAATTTTAATTCACAGATTCTAAGATTCCTTTCCTGGTGCAGACTATGCTGATAAGTTCATCTTCAGTATGA